TGCCGAGTCATAGATAGGTGGGGGTGGGGGTTGGCTGGTGGTTTTCAGCCCCCCCCCCCCCCCCCCGAAAAATGAAGTACGGAGTATGGCGTTTCGTCCACAGTCACGTGGGGAAGGTGACCCATCTCCAGGCAGCTGGTTCCAGGTTGCAGTTGAATCTCCACAAAGGCAAGTAAACAGCAGATCAGTGAGTTGCAGGCTGGGTCCTTACTCCCCAGTATTACGAACCAACAGCAAGGAAATCGACTAGGCAGCGAGATCGGTAAGTGATGACCTTGCGATTTTCGTCTTGTTTAGCACAAGATCCCGACAAGATGTTGTCCCGTTGGTCGTCGGCGTTGTGAATTCGCCGTTACGATCTCGGAACGATGCCATCCGGGATCATGAAGTCAGAATCTCCACCATGCCATGCAAAGAACTATGGAAGCGGTTGTCATGACATTGGATCTTCAAGAGTGGTTTGCCCGCCAGTTCCCCGCCTTACCCGCCGGTTCTCCGCCTTGCACATCAACCAACCAACCTCAAAGTCTTGTCCGGATAGAATTCCGCCTCAGCAGTAGTCTGCAACCAGACTACAGCAGTGTGTGTGCACCCTCGCACCACGCTACTGCTGTAGAGCACCATCTCGCTTACACAACACAGACCATCTCCGTGGACGTCGAGACGAACCCCAGCAAAGCAGCGAGATCATCCACAAGCAAGCAAGGAGGACCCCCACCGGCGGTGTACACAGACTACAACTGCTGTTGTGTACGTAGACGCCGCAACTTCTGCCCTGTAAAGACACAGGTACAGCCAAGACCTTCGGAACTGAACTACTCCATGAGGTGAGGAGATACAACCACAACCAATGCGCTATTACCTCTCCTCGGGTTTCGTTGCCTGGCGTCGAGACAAACATGGCGGTTGGAGAGTCGGACGCGGGTGCATCATGTGTGCGTGAGCGCAGAGTGAGTGTACCCTGCCTACATGCTGCCTGGTGCATGTAGTCTAGACTATGTATGTATATATGCGTTTGTACAGATTGGTCACAGTTTCCAAAGCCACGCGGCACACGCATCAACAATGGGTATGTGAGTGACTGCGTACCGTACAAGCAGCCAACAACCCCCACTAGTATCCTCGGTGACACTAATAGTCCATGTATGCGAGAGAATAACGGCCGTTGTCCACACGAGGGCATCTAACGGTGCCTCGTTTTTCACACACACGAAACACACGCACACACACGGGCGGCCCTTTCGGGAGAATGGCGTATCGGTAGATGGTTGGCACAAGCAAACAGCTAAAGCTTGCTGCAATTGATTCTCGTCCATGTACAGTAGCCGCCTTTTCCTGTTTCACGACTGGCGCTTATCGATCTATACAACACAACAGCAGTACCAGGACGTCGCGGGCCAAGGAAAGTTTCACGCGATTGATTCCGATGCTCCCACGCACGTCGTGAAGCGCTTTGTTGCCGTGGTTTGTCCATCATTTGTACCTCTCACGATTGCACGCCAGTCAGAGACGAGCGACAGGCAGCACGAAATCCTAGAGGTCAGCTAATCGTCGGTGTTCTGTCCGCGAAAGGGACATAACCCAACGAGACTGTCGTATCTGAGGTCCTGCGAGATAGGTTTCTTTTGTTGTCCTCTCGATCGTTTTTCCTCCCCTCACACGGAAACCTCCTACTCTCGGTCCCTAACGTTCGCGCGAAAAGCATGACAGCGACAAATAAATCCATTCACATTTTGCGGAACGGAAACGTTTGATCACGCGCCCCTGCGTGCAGGAGCACGAATGCGCAAAAAAGTGGAGGCCAAGACAGAGCAAAATATTTATGATGAACGATTTACTTTAGATTCGAGCGCGCAGTAATCGCCATGCAGACACGTGGTATCCCTCCGTATTGTGTTGGCACGATTGGCAAAGATGCCTTCGTATGCTATGCAAGCGTTTGCATTGATGTAGGGGACGTATATCCACTATCTTTCATCCCTGTTTCGAATTTCTGGACCCTCGCATACATCCCGCACTGACAGGGTCCCGCTCAACAGTGGAACATGGACGGACGAGGAGCACAAAGGATTTCTCCGCGGTCTCGAGGTGTACGGCCACGGCAACTGGAACGCCATGGCGGTCTTCGTGCTCTCTCGAAGCCCACCCCAGATCGAAGCCTACGCTCAAGACTACATGGCGGAAAAGGAAACTGCCCACGATCTCCAGCAGGTAATAGCACAATGTATGCCCCTTTCGTTGATCTTGGGGATGAAATATCTGCCATCATGTTTTTGGAAACGAACTTTGCTCATGGCTGCCATCATTTCCAACGTATCCTTCCTTCTTCTTAAAGGTTGCGCTGGTCTACACTTCGTTCCCCCGTCAAGCTAGCACCTCAGCGTCGAGGCTCTAGCTGATTGTTTTCCTCATCATTCGTCGGTCCACGTTTTCCCCAGCGACACTCGAATTGAGTTCTACATGCTCCTGGCTCGGTTCGCAGGAGCTGTTGCGCGTTCCTCGTGAGAGTTACACACACAGTTTTCTGTTGCATTCTTATCCCTTACCCAGATCATTCGATGTAAGTATTGGATTTGGTTGGGTGAGGCCTCCTGTGCCTGCAGGAGGGCCTCGCCACAAGTAACCCTTTGCCCAGGCCCAAAGTGTTTGAATGATCAGTAAGTTCATGAATATAGTAAGCATTGTGTAGGGCGGGTGAGATGGTCTCAAATATATCCCTTCTTCTCTGCTCCGGCTTATTTCGGGAGAGAAAAAGGGGACTAAACTAGGTGGGGTCATTTTCCAACATCCTTTCTGGAATATCTGACTCTTCCCGATTTCGTTCCGTAATCTAGAGCGGTCTCAAAATCCGAGATTACATGCGGAAACGGTGTGTGCCCAGGGGGTGGAACCGGCTGTCGCCAACGCACGCATGCCGGCGCACCTTCAGCCTGATCCCTGTTAATGCTACCTAACATCAATAGCTGCCATGTTGCGGAGGAACAGGCCAACTGGCCGGATAGGTATATTCGGAATACACAAGCGCAGGGTGCCAACTGGCCGGTTTATTTATTCGGCCATAGTGCAACCCACACCCTTCCCGTGTCTCGTCGACCGTATCACCCGTCCTCACCCTCCCCCGCCGATCATCTCGATCGCCATGCCAAAACGTTTCTGTCTAACCGACCCAGGTAATTCTGAAGCCATCCAATGCGGATCACGCAGCCAGTTCGCGTAGCGGTGGCGGAAGGTGTTATGTCGAGTTCGGCGGTGGCAGCAGTAGTGGTGGCAGCAGTAGTGGTACGCCCTCTTTCATCGAATCAAGCGTGCCACCACCCTGTCACAGTGCGACCCGTGAACAGCGGCGGCCGCAGAAGCTGTCACCGCCGCTGCCGCAGCACACGCCGGTGCAGCAGCCTCTCCCGGGACGGCAGCATCACCGCCAGCAGCAAGAAGAGCGCTTTGGTTTTCAGGTGTGGGGGCCGGTGGGTCCGACATGCGACAGCAACGTCTCCGACAGCGAAGACGAACATGAAGTGGAGAGCATTTTCGCTACAGATCAAGCTTGTTTCGGCATCCTATAGGCGCGCTTGTGCGCTTCTGGTTTTGCCACCGAAGCTGCTGGTGGCAACATTCGACGAAGGGCCTGATCGGCGAAGTCAATGGGACGGGTGCATGGTTCAATAGAGACGTGGATCAGAGTAGTCCTTGTGAAGGGAGGCTGAAATAAAACATTGTACCGGGTCGAGACTTGATTTCGCGTTTCTTCGTTGTCGCCGTCGAGCACAGGTCGGTGGTGATTTTGTAGCGTTTCGTGTAGCCAACTGTTCCTACAGTATGTTTCGGGGCAATCGGATAGACCTATGTACAACCACATGTGCGGAGAAGGCATTAGACTCCTCATTCTTGTCACTTGTTCCTTACAGTGCGCGCGCCATATGCTGCGTGCACGATTGCATCTTTTCTTTTGGGCCCTGGATGTTTTCGCGGTCGCAAGAAAAATGGTGGGTTGGGCGTGAGCGGTGCTCTGGCGGTCCAAATATCTCTTTGGGTGGCATGTAAGCTATTTGTTTCCAAATTCTCGCAGACAGCTGTGGGTCGACGCCCGAAGGTTTGACGTGTTTTTTCCGTCACTTTCTGGTTTACTTCCTTGTCGTTAAAGGGGGGGTGATTTCGACTTGGTATAACCAAAAGCTCGTATACGCGCATCGGTTGTATGCGCCGTAATATCTGGTATATATGCTAGACGGAGGTGTTTGCTTATTTCTTGGGGCGATACGATATTCGGTTGTGGCTCGTTTTCTCGCCTGGCTAGCGCAGTACTGTAGTAAAGAGTTAGAAAGGCTTGGCCGGGGGAAACTCTCCGGAAGTGTATCGGTTTCGAACGGCAGGGTACGACGCGAGTCAGTCCGCCAAACCGTACGTTAGTATCCAGTGCACGCTTGCAATATGACCTCATGGTAACCGGTGGTGCTTCGGTTAGACTAGGTTTCGGGTTCAAACCAGGATTCAAAGAAGTGTACTCCAGCATTAAAATGCTCCAAGCTGATGCTGCTGCATAGTGCTTCGTATTCTCCTTGCTGAGTTAGCTTTTTTTTGTGTGTGTACAGAAAAAACGTGGTACGTCTGATGTACTGAAAGTTTCGCACTTCGAAGCACGGGGCAAATGCTTCATGTAGCACCTGAGTTGAGAGCATACACACCACGACAGCGGCATCCATCACCGGACATGGTCTCGAACTGCGTGGTTGTCGGTGTCTGTTAGTGGAGGGAGGGGGGGGGAAGACAGGGGGGAGATCTACGGGTTGGATCAAAGGTCAAGTGTCAACGTATCCTCTGAATTGAACTATAAATACTTGCCTCCTGTCGGTGTGTTCGCGACTCTGGATGGTTTCCGCACCGGCCGAGAGCGCTGGAAACACGACCACTTTTGCATTGTGCTTTGGCCTCTGCTCTAGGTTTCTTTAAGGGCGACATACATGTAGTGAGGTGGAGTCTCTTTGTTCCATCACCAGGGTGTGTTTTCGATCAGCTTGTTGCTCGAAGAGAGAGAGAGAGCGTCGTATGTCCTCTGTGTCGAAATCCACTTGATTTGATAGATGGAGTGTTCTTTGTGAACCATCACACGGGTGCGTTTTCGATCAGCTTGTTGCTCGAAGAGAGAGAGTGTCGTATATCCTCTGTGTCGAAATCCACTTGATTTGATACAGTGTGTTGATATATTTAACAGGCTGTGTAGAAACCCTGTAAAATGTTTTCTCACCTCTGCCAAGTCGACTTAATGTGCGGTCGAACGCCACCAGGTGGCTGCAGGCGCGTCCTTAATTGTTTTTGGCTTACTGTGCATCAATCCTACGCTGATAGCATCCAGATGCATAGTCCTCACGCCACAAACCACAACCGTGCACACGTAGTAGCCAACCCAACTCACGGCATGTTGAGACGTGGTCTCATCTAGCTCGATCGATGCCATTGCATCGTTGCCTTGGAGCCCATCCCAAGTAAAAAACAGAACACGCCACCGTGAAACATGACTACACATACCACGAAGGCCGGACCAGCGCGCAACTTCACCACCGCCTATCGTGCTCTGCAAAGGCGTACGGTATGTCACACGAAGAAATCGACATGACAGTTTGATCTACGTGGGCTTCGCACCACGGCAAACGCACAAGCAAAGATGCCCACACTGTCACAAAAAAGCGGAGATCGCCAAAACTCCAACCACGAAGAACAGAGCCTTCACCGCAGCCTTCACCGCGATCAACGATTGAGAAAAACACGACAACCCATCTACCCTGCGCGTAAAACTGCGGCACGGCGCCTCTCCTCCCTTCGCCTCCCTCGTCAAACACACACGAAAAACAAAATACTTAGATATACCAGGGCCACGCGCAGAACCCGACCCATTTGCAGTGGCAAAACACACCCATCCGGTGACGGTTTACTACCGAACAAGTCCAGCGGTACTGCAGATCTCCAAATCTCGCATGTGCGGCGACAAGAAATGCGCTCATGGGTGATACAAAGCTCGAGCACATCAAACGGAACACAAGGTGGTGTTCCTTATGGTGCAGGAATAAACTCCCCGCGCCACAATCACTCAAGCAAATTGCGATGGACAGCAACCGCTTCATCTCTTCGCGTAAGTTGGAAGCCTTCGTCGATCGTTCCCTCTGCAAATCCACACGAGCGTCGGGGGTAGCATTCAGAAAATTCCTGATGAACTCGTCCTTACCAACCACCCGGCTAGTGTTGCAACGACATCGATTTCGACCCCCCAAAATAGTGCTCCCATTAACAACAACAACAAAACGTTGTACGGTCCATTCGAAGGCATAACAGGGGTCAGCACAATGAAACGTTTGTTGCCCCCCTTTTGTCCCTTACAACCGAGGATGGGTGGCAATGTAGAGCGCAACCGCCCGCAATATATTGCCCAAGGGTCCGGTCTGCTGCCGGGTATACCTGCACGGAAACGCACAGGGTCAACAATACAGGAGCAAAGGTAAGCGGTTTCGTTTTGCGGCTACGTCCCGGGTTAGACGTAGGATGCCAGTAGGATCAAGCGGCGCGGATACCCGAATACACGATATCCGAATGCACGACGACGTCCGAGTGCCAGTTTTACAGGAGGAAAGCATGCTTTGTATGTCGCCGAAGAGAGCACATCGTTGACAGCAAGACACGCTTGCTCATCAAGAGTATCTCATCAAGAGTATCGTAAGGATGACAGAGGACGCACGGCTCCGTGATGCCGCACGTACCGGTGATATCGCACCCCCGTGCGATAAAAAAACAAGAACGGGATGATTCAATCCGATTGTCGGACACGGATCGGTGATAACGTACAGGGGTGCGATATCACCGACACCGAGTGCCCAGAGTGGTTCAGGGGCACTCACGGCGCCGGGGTTTCCTCGCGATTTCACCGTGAAAGGTGTTGTAGAACGTACGATACGTGTGTGTTCTGTGTTCGTGTTTTCTGCAGTACGGCGGTGACGTGTTGGGTATCGCGCATATTTCGCACGGGAGCGTACGTCGAAAGCACCCAGTACTACTGCCATAGGGTCTATGGTTTTACTGGGTTTCTGGGATATCGCATCCCCAGTGCGATAAACGTTTCAGGGTCGGAACGATTTGCTTCGATTATCGCACGGGGATAGGTGATATCGCACGTACCGGGGAACACGAACCCCCGTGCGACAAAACGTCAACGAAGTATTTCAAAATTCGATTGCCCCCCCGTGCGTATGCTCGCACCATTACGGTACTCATGTTGGACGCCAACACCGTGAGACTTCTGACTCACCGCGAAAAACAAAACTTGGTTTCGGTCGGCACAATGCTATAGTAAAAACCAAAAAACGTGTGCGTACCGCATGGTGGCGCGAAGAAGGTGTTCAAGCTGGGGGG